ATGAATAATACTTAAGTTTTGTCCTCAAGGAACTTAATACAGGCAACCCTTAGATTAAACACACCTGAATTACAGACAATTCATACTTGTCCCTTATGCAGGGCTTCCAACCAATTCGAGATAAAGCAAAACAGGAACTGACCTGAATTTTTAAAATTTGGACACTTTTTCATGGTAACCAGAACAAGAAAAATAATGGGTGGAAGCCCATTCAGGGCATGAGAGTGGATTCTTGACAGGACCACACATGGTCAAAGCAGGGCGGTCTGCCACCATCTTTGAGTTTCACTGGCCATGACTAAGCCAAGAAGAACCAGTTCAGAGTCCTCCTTGGAAGGAATTGAACAGGCCCTGATATGGCAACAAATTCTTCATCACAATCACATGTAGCTTTTAAATCATGGAAAAGTCTTTGAGCTTTTTTCTTGTAAAATAAGGCTAAGTAAGAACTGTGTGTACCTGTTCCAACTTCCCTACAAACTGTTGAAACACAGATCGAAATCGATCTCATTTGTACAATAAGAACTGCCTATTTCTATTTTTAAAAAGTAAGAAATGCTTATAAATTATGTTTCTAGTGTAGGATGCATTAAGTAGGATATACTGAGAGCCACAAAAAGTTTTGAACAAAAAGGTAAGGGAGTTTGTAGAAAACACACTGAAAATGCCCGTGTTAAATGCAAACTAGCAGTCTTCCTCAGATAAAAGCTATGCGGTATAGAGAGAACACTGGTCCAGGAATCAAGAGATTCCACTGTGCCAACAGGCGGGAGGTCTTGTCCAAGCACTGGATTGCCTCTGACCTCATGATTATCTGTACGTTGCCTTCTAGCTCAGGAAACCCGTGGTCCTAACCCTGTGACTCCGGTCTGGGGAGGGTCAAAGGAGGTTTCCTGGAGGAGGAGACTGTGACCTGAGCCTAGAATTATGGGTCTGTTTATTGCTGGTGTGTCTTACATGCATATTATTTGTTTTAATTATAGTATTGAACTCTCTTCTTATATACCCAGTCTTTGTTGTAGTTTGGTCATCTGGTTTACATCATTAAAACATTGGTGGTGGCGGTGGTATGCCATGGAGTTGGTTCCGACTCATAGCGACCCTTCACAGGGTTTCTGAGGCTGTAAATCTTCATGGGAGCAGAAAGCCTCATCTTTCTCCCATGGAACAGCTGGTAGTTTCAAACTGCTGACCTTGTGGTTTGCAGCCTAATACGTAACCGCTATGCTACCAGAGCTCCTTAGAAGCAACATTATTCACAAGAGGGCCAAGAGGGGACAGATGGATCTTGAAACCTGGGCTTTCACCACACTGAAGGGTGCAATGCATTCAAGTTGCTTACAGAAAGTAGAAGACACTGACTGAGTCCAGGTGGGTCTGCGCTAATTCCAGGCAGCTCCCATGTTGCTTCCATCTCCATTTTTCTTTAAAGTTTTACTGAAAAAATATGACGAATGCTTTCTCAACTCCTACACATCTTCATAAATACAACCCTGTTTGACTCTTGATCCGAGAGAATAAGAGAGAGTTTTGTTCCCAGTTGCAACTGCTTGATAAAGCAGGGTTGTCGGAAATCTGCGCTTTTTGCTTGCATCCTCATGAAATCAGTGGGCTTTGAGAAACAGGTGTTTGGATTTCACCAGAAGCTACCAGGTCTGGATGTCTCCTGGAAGAAGACAGTGCATCATTTTGAACAAAATGAGAACCCATTTTGCCACAGAGTCATCAGCCTCTCTTGTCTGTGTAGAATTGTGCCCTGATTGAGGAGGCTAGAGCAGAGGACCCAAGGTCAGTGTTTTTCTCGGAGCTGTGCTCTGGTGAAGGGTTCCACGCCAGTAGCTGGGAGTCTCATCTGTTACTAGAGTGTTCTCTCATCCCACCACTCACTCCCAACATATGTGAAAGCAGTTATCAGGCCACCCAGAGCAGATAAATTTACTCGGCGGACATTTATGAAGTATTGAATTTGAGTAGAAGGAGAAATTAAGCTGATTACTTAAACCAAATACCTTTGTCTATACAGTTCCTCGATATAAGAAAAAACTGCTCTTTCTGGCTTCTCAAATGTTTACTCATTGCTCTGGCTGTAAAGTAAATCAGGGAAAAAATGTTCTGAACATTCAGAAAATCTTTGAAAGTGCACCCAGCGTAGACACAAGGCCGAGTCTGAACCCGGGCACAACCAGCCTCCCTGAGACGGATCATTGCTCCAAATCTCTGCTTATCCCACCCTCATGTGCTTGCAAAGTTTTGTTTCACTTTGTTATATTTTTCCCTTAGTTTTCACCAGTCTGGGATTCATTGTAGTTCAAAGTTGTTGTTGTTAAGTGTGGTCGAGTCAGTTCCTACTCATAGTGACCCTGTATAGGGTTTCCAAGGAGCAGCTGGTGAGTTTGAACCACCAACCTTGCAGTTCAAACAGCTTTGCAGTCCGGCACATTAATCCATGGCACCACACCAGGACTCCGTCCCTGTTAAAAATACAAATACCTCTAAGAAGATCAAGGCACTGTCATTTTTTCTGTATTCTTTTATTCATTCAATATGATTTGAGTTCCTACCATTACCATGAAACTGGATTCTGTAAAGAAGAACATGACATCAGGATTGAAGAAAGCCTCATTAGCAACCTCTGATGTGCAGATGACACAACCTTACTTGCTGAAAGTGAAGAGGACTTAAAATATTTACCAATGAAGATCAAATACCACAGCCTTCGGTAATGGATTGAATTGAATTAATGTAAAGAAAACAAAAATCCTTACAACTAGATTAATAAACAGCATCTTGATAAATTGAGAAAAGATTAAAGTTATCAAGGACTTTATTTTGCTTGGATCCACAATTAACACTCAATGGAAGCAGCAGTCAAGAAATCAATCAACGTATTGCATTAGGCAAATCTGCACAAGACCTGTTTAAAGTGTTCAAGCCCAAAGATATCAGTTTGAGGACTAAAATGTGCCTCATTCAAGCCATGAGAGTTTCAGTAACCTCATATGCATGTGAAAGTCAGACAGTGAATAAGGAAGGCCATAGAAGAATGCTTGCATTTGAGTTATGGTGTTGGAGAAGAATAATGAAAGAGCAAACAAATCTGTTTTGGAAGAAGTACAATCAGAATGCTCCTCAAGCCAGGATGGTGAGTCTTCATCTCTCAGACCTCAGAAGTACTAACAGGAGGGACCAGTCCCTGGAGAAGGACATCATGCTTGGTAACGTGGAAGGTCGTAGGAAAAGAGGAAGACCCCCCCAATGAGTTGGATTTGCACAGTGGCAGCAGCAGTGGGCTCAAGTGTACCAATTGTGAGGATGATACAAGTCCACACAGTGTTTGATTCTGTTGTGTAAAGGGTCACTCTGAGTCAGAAGTCACCCAGTGGCACCTAGCAACAACAACAACCCATTCCCCATTGCCACTGAGTGAATTTCCAACTCATAGTGATCATATGTTGTTGCTGTTATGTGCCGTCGATTCGATTACGACCCATAGCAACCCTGTACAAGGTTTCCGAGGCTGTAAATCTTTACGGGAGCTGAAAGCCTCATCTTTCTCCCGTGGAACAGCTGGTAGTTTCGAACTGCTGACCTTGAGGTTCACAGCCCAATTCGTAACCACTACGTTACCAGAGCTCCTTGTGATCCTATAAGACAGGAGAATCACCCTGGAGGATTTCCAAGATTGTAAACTTTGCAGAAGACTGCCACATCTTTCTCCCACGGAGTAGCGAATGGGTTTGAACCACTGACCTTTAAGTTAGCAGCAGAGCACTTAACTGCTGTGCCACCAGTGATCCTCCTTTGAGTTTCTACTATGGACATATTATAGAGTTCACATTCAAAATAAATCGGGAGAGAGAAGTGCAGTGCAAATAGTAATAACGCTAATAAACCCCATTGCTCATCAATTCTAATTGATAGTGACCCTATACCCGTTAACCCACCGTCATTAAGTGAATTCCAACTCATAGTAACTCTGTAGGACAAAGAAGAATGGCCCCATACTGTTTCTGGGGCAGTAAATCTTTACTGGAGTGTAGACTACCTCATCGTTTTCCCTTGGAGCAGCTGGTGGGTTTAAACTACCGATCTTTCAAAGGTTATCAGTCCAATGTTTAACCCACTAAGTAATCATAGTCCCAGGTGACCTTATGCTGTTAAGTGCTTTTGAGTCAATGCCAATTCATAGTAGCCCCATATAGGATTTCCAAGGAGTGGCTGGTGGGTTTGATCTGCCGACCTTGTGGTTAGCAGTTCAGTGCTGATCGTACAGCGCCACACCGGGAGCTAACATTAATTGGGTATTTGACATTGTACCACACACTGCTAAGTAGTTTACGTTCAACGTTTCATTTAACTGAGGTAATCTTCAGTGACTATTGTCAATCAAGGAATGGTGAGGTTGCGTAATTTGCCTAAACTCTCAGAGCTCGTAAAGTGACAGGGTCAGGATTAGAACCCATTGATGTAATCTCCTGTATATGAGTTTATACATGCAGCTGTTGAGTTTAGGAGATTCAGACTGAACTCCTTTCTCCAGCTACCAAGCCAGATCTCACCATTTTTTCTACTGTAGCTGGCCAGCCCACGAATGAGCCCCTGTTATGACCAGTCAACAAAGAGAAAGCTCTTCATTGTTTTTCTGCTAATCTGTATGGCCCAGAGAGGAGGCAGTTGGTTCGAAAGCCCCACTGTGAGGTGACTTTCTTGAGAAGCATGGGATGGAATTCAGGTGTCTTTTGTTGCTACTGGGGTCTCTAGAAATAGAAGATGATAGCATAAAGAATTTAGCAACACCCACATCACAGGGATAGAAGCCCATTCCAGGTGGATTTACTTACCGGATCACCAAGGCCACTTCCACCAATATGATATTACAGGGATTTTGCATGGCTCGTCTGCTCCTCTTATCTGCCCCGATGATTTTTATATGCTTTCTCTTGTTTGGAAAATGGGAAAGTTGGCCATATTGCTAAAATTACATTTTCTCCCCTCCACAGGCATGAATGCTTTACAGTTACAGAATCTGGCAACGTTGGCTGCTGCTGCAGCGGCGGCCCAGACCTCAGCCACCACCACCAATGCAAATCCTCTCTCTACAACAAGCAGTGCCCTGGGAGCCCTCACGAGTCCCGGTAAGAAGTGTTGCTCTTCCCTTCCAGATGATGCAGGAAGAGCAGTCTGTAGATCTGGACCAAGGTACCTGTGTCCAGGACATAATCATTGGGCATCTGGGTTCTTTTATTCCCTCATTCATTTGAAGCAAAGTTCAAATAAGTGTGTTTTGTCTTCCAAGGAAAAAATGAAAATGTTTTCAGTAAGCGAATCTATGAATGCTGGCAAAAAGTGAATACTAGTGATTCATTTTGTGAAAAACACTGTTTATATCACTCGTTCGATTCTTGCTTTTTAAAGTCTTGAACATTATGAAGAGCCACAAGTATTCTGTTCTTTTTCACAATTTAAGAATTCTATTAAATCTCAAAACCTCTAATTATTCTAGTGTGATATTTCACACCAGCTCCATCCTTCACATTTGATTTTTCATCCATGGTCTTCCAAAAGAAACATTTTTGTTCTTTTATGGTCAAGTTCTGGACTATATAATTTTACATCTCTTTCTTCCCTTTAAAATCTTGTTGCCTTATTCAAAAGCAGATGCTTTTTTTTAAAAATTTTTTATTTTCATACAAGGCAGATATAATATGGTTGCTTAGAGACCCATGACTTGTTTTTTAAAAAAACAAAACACAGTGGAATGTTTCACTGGCTTCTCTTCCTTTTTGAAATTTCTAGACCTTGATCAATGATCTCACCTCTTTCCCTGTTATATGAAGGAGTTAGTTTGGACAATCTCCAAGCTTCCTTCTAACTTTGAAAATCCCACGACCGTCTATCAGCTGTGCCCAAAAAATTACTTAAGTATTGAAACAATGTTAGTGTAGTAATGCAGGGCTTTCATTCAAGTAAGCATAAAGTAAAAGATACAGCATGCTACAGATCCACTTTTATAAGGCTTTTGATTTCAGGAAGCAGTGAAGAAGGTTCTCTGAACCTTTGGTACTCTCAAAAGCAGTAGCTCTTGGTTTGTTTATAAAAACATTGTGTATCTAATACATTTCACCCTGAGAGGAGTTTTGAAAGAGAAACCTAAGAGATGTTTAAGAGAGGCTGGCAGATTTGTTTTTAACGTGCTGGTAGCGTAGTGGTTACGAATCGGGCTGCGAACCTTAAGGTCAGCGGTTCGAAACTACCAGCCGCTCCGCGGGAGAAAGATGAGGCTTTCTACTCC